TTTTCCCCAGTGGAACCAGGGATTGAACTCAGGCCCTTGCGCTTGCCAGGCAAGTGCTTATTTTACTGAACTATCTCCATGGCCTGTTTTTTGTTGTTGTTGCTTTTGTTTTTGCGGAAGCAGGGATTGAACTCAGGCCCTTGCGCTTGCCAGGCAGACGCTTCTTGTACTGAGCCAACTCCCCAGCCCTTTAAAGTACTCTGTTCTATGCAAAGCCCCTCACTAAGACTTGCTGAGCTTTCTTCAAATATCCAAATTCTCCTTTTACCTCCTCATGCAACGTCCTCCCTTCAGTCCCTGAGCAGAGTGTGGCTACAGCCTTCCCGCTGGATTCCTGAGGGCACCTAGGGGCTATGTGTCACATCTGTGGGAGGGAAGCCCCCTGCTGGGGACCCTAAACTAGGTGTGGGGCACCAGGTGCCTGAACTGCTGTGCCCAGGTCTTTTCCTGAGAGCTGTACAAGGCTGTGAGCAGCACTCCAGGACTCCGGTGGCAGAGGGGGCTGCCTGGCCATGAGCTGCTCAAGCAAGAACTTCACAAAAGGAGAAAACATTAAAACAGGAAAAAAAAAAAAACTAACTAAATAAAAAGGTTACCTTTTTAAAAGTCAGTGCCAAAGAAATAAAAATAGGGTGATACAGAGTCATTTAAAAAGTACATAGTGCGTACCTGGTAAAATGTCATAACAGTGTGAGTTTTCAAAAACTCAGAGATGTGAAAGTGAAAAGGAAATTTCCTTGCCTATTAAGATAATTTTGTTTTAATCTTTTATTTATGTATTTTGGTACAGGGTCTCACTACACAGCTCAGAATCACAGTGATCCTCTTGGCTCAGCATCCCCCGCACTGGGATTATAGGCGTGCACCACCATGCCCGGTTTCAGTGGCTGGCACGGTACGCCCGGGGTTCCAGGACCAGCATGGCATATAGTGCCAGGGATTGAACCCCAGTCCTTGCGCTTGCCAGGCAGGCACATCTGGCACCAAGTTCTCTCTGCAGCGTGATGTGTTATATCTTTGACTTGTCATTGCTGATACAGGAGTTGGCCTTATATAGACTTTCCAGCCAGTTTACTAAGACCTAATCATTATTCATTTGACCCTTGCAGGTATTCTGTAAGTATTTATGCAGCAAACTCTAAGCAAATGGGCCTCCTGAGGGGAGATCAGAAGAGATGAGAAGCTACTGACGCGTTTTAGGAGGGGCTTCCATGGTACGAAGGATAGGTGGTAGGACCCTGAAGAGCAGGGGACATCAGAGGGGCCTGGCCATCTCCACTGGGACACCCAGGCAGGCGCAGGGGTCCTATGCTTACACACGCACTCCTTCCTATGGTTTCCTTGTGGATTTTCCAGCCACACGCTGTGACAGTTCCCGTAAGAATTCTGGGGGGAAGCGGTGAGCACACCCCTGGATGCGTGTTCTTCAGAGCTGAGAGTAGCACCAACCTGCACCCTGGGGGATGCGTGACACCCACCTGCTCACTGTGGCTTCGGATCCCTGCTGCCAGGCAACAAGCTGGGGGCCAGCTTCCCACCCGTACCGCCAGGCAGGACGCCTGCAGGACTCCAGCCCACCCCGAGGCCACCGTGAGCGTGGGGGAAGATGGGCATCGATTGGAAGGACGAGCCCAGCCCACTGCCCCACATTCACACAAAGCAGCTTGATGTGCAGAAGTTATTGGTGGAAGCAATGTAAGAGTTCTTAAATTTAGGAAATAGCAAGATTTTAAAGATATCAGGCATCACATCACCTAAGCTCCTGCTTAAGAATTAAGAATTATGCTTAACGTATTCAGAAAGGCTGCTTCCAGCTGCGGGTGGCACACGTTGACCATACCTGGGCCACGAAAGACAGCATGTGGGAAGCTAGTTCCTCCTATTCCATTCTGAGGCTGCAGCCAAAATGAAGGCTGAAATAAGAGAGGAACAAATTGCCATCTCAATCTGACGACAGCAACAGAACCATGTAATGAAAGCATCTGGAGAGATGGCTCAGGGGAATAAGAGCTTCCCTGGCAAGTGCAAGGGCCTGAGTTCAATCCCCGGTTCCGCAAAAAAAAAAAAAAAAGAAAGAAGGCATCCGCCCAAACCCGTGAACAGTGGGCCGCATCTCAGCTCTGCTCAGAACTCCTCTGCCTGACTGCGGCTGGGCTGGGAGCGCCTCAGGCTTCCAGAAGCCCTCTGGCCTCCAGGGGAGATTATCTCCACTTCGGACAAACGCAACACTCTCCCTGTGCGACTCCATCCCCGGTACAGAAACTAAGGAAAAGAAAAATGACAAACGGAAGGCCAATTCAACTAAGCACATACAAATAACTCCGGCTTTCCTTGCAAAGGGGAGTGAAGCACTGGGGAAGGGTCTTGCAGATGCGGGCGTTTGCGATATGCGTGCACACGCGTGCCCGCATGTCCGAGGCAGACCCCGCGCTCCCGCGCTCGCCTCGCCCGCCGCGGGTGCTTCCGTGGTCAGCAGAACGGCGCTCCGTGGGTCCGCGGCAGGGCGGGTGCACCTCCTAGGCCTGCCCACGGGGGCGTGTGCACCCGCACGCCTCGGGCTCGTCCGGATCGCCCTGCTTCCGCACGCCCCTCCTCTCGTCTCGCTGCCTGGCCACCGAGCTCAGTCTTCATGTTGTCTGTCTTCCACGTTTTTCTTTCCCTTCTTTCCTTTCCTCCTCCCCCGCCCTTCTTCCCTTTTCCTTTTTGAATAGTTTCTTCCTGTTCCACAATACATATTGTACATTCCTGTTCTCACTTGTTTTCAGTTTTTCACACCAGAGAGATACTGCGATATTTCCAAATGTGTATCTGATTTAGTGCACTCACGATTATGGTCTCCAAATGAATTCATTTAGCTGTAAATGTTTCACTTTTCTTTTTCTTTATGACTGAATAATACTCCATCGTGTAAAAATACCTTTTTTATCTGTTCTTCAGTTGATGGGCATTTGGGTCATTTCTGAGAGCTAGCGACTGTACACTGCGCCGCTGTAAACATGGTGCGCAAATACCACTGCGGAGCGATGACTTTAATTATTCTGGGAAAATACGCAGAAGAGGAATACCTGGCCAAATGGGGCCTCCGGGGCCAGCCTGGGAGAAGTCTCCGCGCTGCCTCCACGGCGGCGGCTGCACCCGTCTGCGCTGCCCCAGCAGCGGAGAAGGGCTCCTTCTCCCCGGAAGCCCCCAGCACTTGCTAGCAGTTGGTCTGTTTGATGCTAGCCATTCCTTGGAGGCTAGCACACGAGGCCTCCTCTCAAATAAGTAAGCAAAATAATAATAATAATAATAATAATAATAATAATAATAATAAGGCTTAGAATGCCAGACCTTGATATTCACCCTAACAGTACTATATTCCAGATTAAGTGGTGCTGCTATGACTAAGACCATGATGAAGTTATCAATTTGTTGGAGTCATAAAAGCAGTCTGATGTGGAGAGGAAAGTCTTCTCAACAACTGAATGAACTGCAACATTATATAACATAATTCCACTACTTCATATGGTAAATAAAAGTAACTTGAGATTCACTGAAATTCTAAGGGAAAAGATAAAACCACGTTAAGAGAAAATCACACAACATGCTCATAACTTAAGGTATGTAGAACAGAGAAAGCAAAACATCATAATTTATGGTTTTTAACTCCATCAAAAGTATAAATACCTACTCCTCTAATGATCTATTAACAAGATGCCCAGGTAGACCACAGCCGGGGGGAAAATACTGGCAAAACCTACACCCACAGAGATCTTGTACGAGCAACACCTGAAGAAACCCTGCGACACATGACAAAAAGAACAACCCTAAGCAACAAGCAGGAGCGTATGGATGGGGATGCAGTGCACCCAGTGAGACCGGCACTCAGAAAAATGAAGATCAAAAACCCAGAGTGATGCCCATCTGCTCTCCATAAGGACTATGTTTAAGGAGAAGGACAATCATGAATGTTAGCAGTCATGGGTAGTACCTCACACATTGTGTGTTTGGGGGAAAGGCTATGTACCACAACCTTTGCAAAAGTTCTCTCAGCTGCCTACGAAGCTAAAAACATGCTGCTGTGGTTCCAGTCAAAGACATCCTGGGCCCTGAGCTAGAGGCATGGTCCTTAGCTCAGTGCTGTGGGAAGATGGTGGGGTCTGTCAGAGGCAGGTCTTGGTGGTAGGTTTTAGGATTTAGGGTGGGCCCTTGAAACAGACTGTGGGGTGCTAGACTCTCTCTGTCTCCCTTGCATTCCCAACCAGGAGGTGAACACAGTCCCACCAGGACCTCCCACAGGAAGTGCTGCCTCAACACAGGAACTACTGCATTGTCGCAGGAAGAAGTTCTGCATCACCACAGGAAGCCATGGCAGGAAGCCATGGATACGGTGTGGGTTGTAGGTGCTTCATAGGGGTTCTTCCCAAGCTGACGGCGTTCCCTTCGCTTCCTATTTTGTTGAATATATATATATATTCAACAGGAAGTATGACATCACCTCAGAACCCAAGACATCAGCAACAGCCAACTATCTTCTGAAACTTTGAAGCTGTGAGCCAAAATAAGCCTCTTCTCTTTATAAATTGATTATTTTGCTTGTCATGGGCAGAGATTAATGCATATATCTGCCCCCTGATTAGCTTATCTATTTCTTCAAATTAACTAAAAAGGAATGAAAACTATGTCCATAGCAATGCAAGTAAAAAAAAAAATTACATGGTGGTAGGTTTTAGGATTTAGGGTGGGCCCTTGAAACAGACTGTGGGGTTTACATGTAAATCATTTATCTGTCAATAAAGAATGGATTAACAAATTTATGTTCATGCAATAGTTTCAGAAGAGAAGAAATAAATAAGCCACAAAACAGAGATATGTCCTAAAAATCTGATGGTGGGTAAAGGAAGTCCTGCGTACTGCATCCTGCCTTGTGTTCCTTGCCCAAGTGCTCCCCTCCCAGGACTAAGATCTCCAGGCCACTGAGGTGGGACCGGATGTCTCTCCAGGGTCTGAGCGTCCTGAGGAGCGGCCTGGGGGCCGCTCTGCACACCCTTCTCCTCCTTCCTGGGCTTGTGAGCATTTCTGTGTGAGAAGTGCCACATTTGGACCCAAATCCCGAGCACGTTTCTCACTCTTGAGAGCCAGGCTGCACCCTAGAAAGCTTTGCTCCTCTCCGTGCTGGAGCTGAGCCTTCCAGGGCCCTGCCCCTTTCAGCTGCCTTGGTGCGGGAGGCAGCAGGAAGCGCGCAGCACTGGGCCCTCACACGCCACGGCTGCGAGGGGAGCTCTGGCCTCACAGTGAGGGGAGACAAGGCCTCCTGTAGGTTTCCAGGTGGTCTCCCTGTCAGAAGCACAGTGTGCAGGGAAAGCAAATCCTCCAAAGCTCCCATGCAGATCTTTCCCTGACAGAGGTGGCCACGGTCACCGCCCCTGGTGGCTGGCTAGTCACCCAGAAATGTTCCCCCCCTGGGCTCAGTGTTTGCCTCACTCTTGGGCAAAACATACTCGCCAGCGCCCACAGCCAGGTCAGTTGTGGAGTGGAGGATTCCATGGGTGACCCCACCACCATGGCTGCTGTACCTGGACCCCACCATGTGAGGATGTGTCGCCCCTTCACCTGCCCATCAAGCTCCTCTGCCAGCATTCATGTGACATGATGTCCTCACATCTGCCAGCCACTGACAGAAGCATACCCATTCTTCTTCACAGCAAAGCCAACAGGTTCCCAACTGTACTGGCCAAATCCCAGGAGTGCCTAAGGTTGGACTACTAATCAAGGTTCAGAGGAAAACATCATGAGTGCTAAGATTTTTATGGCCTTGGGGTACTTCTTCATAACATAAAAATTCACTGGGACAGTACAAGTACGTGTCCTATTCACCGTGTTTCTGGGATTTCAAAGCCAGACCCTATTCCCTCAGAAGAGGAACCTAGTCAGGAGCACAGCTAGCTCTAAGTCGTGAACAAAGCTGTAAGTACAAGTTTACTTTCGTTTTTCATTTTCTGCTGACCTTTGAACAGAGCATTCCAATGTACACGCGACAGAAAAGGCGAGCGCACAGTGGTGCAGTGCTCTATGCTCTGAGATGCAGTCAGCGGCTCCTCTCAGACGGACGGTGTTTGAAAACAAAAAGGTTTTTGAACTTCGATCAAGAAACAAGATTCTCCAGCCCACACCAAAGACAAAACTACGGTAAACACACTTGCCAGGCAGGGGCTCGTGCTCCCGAGCTATGTCCCCAGGCACCCGGCCCTGGGACTGCTCACCCATGCAGCTCATCATGTCTGAATTTGGAGGGACAGTAGTCCTGGGGAGGCTGCACTCGGCTCTGTGCGTCTGTTCCATCTTGGCAGAGCTGTTCACCAACTCAGTGCCTCATCACACCGGGAAGTCACCAAGCCCAGGCCAGTACCTTCCTCAGGCCACAGCGATGCCACTGAGCAGTGCCCAGGGTGACAGAGTGCAGGTACCCTCCTACCACACGTCCAGGGCAAAGGAGACAGTGGCCTGCGGGTCACTGTGGGAGCACAATCTCGTAGTCGTGCTCAGGCGTGCAGGAAGAGGCGCCAGAGACTGCGCTCCTGAGCAGGGCGTACTCCGTCTCTGTCTCCGAATCCTCCCTGAGGTGCCTCCCTGCCCTCCTGATGGTGTTCACATTCTCGTAGCCATGGTCCGTGGAGGCCAGGGACGGCCAGCGTGGGGCCACGTGGTTAATGATGGTGTAGCACACATCCTCGGAGCACCCACTACCCGCATCGTCCTGTTCCTGCCACACACAGAAAGAAAAGAAAGCATGACCAGAGGCCCACAACAGGTCTGCGCCCAGCGTCCCTGCTCTCCCGGGCCCAGGTCTGCGCCCAGCGTCCCTGCTCTCTCGGGCCCAGGTCTGCGCCCAGCGTCCCTGCTCTTCCTCTGCGCCCAGTGTCCCTGCTCTCCCAGGCCCAGGTCTGCGCCCAGCGTCCCCCCACGCCCCTCCGGCCCAGGTCCACGCACAGCGTCCCTGCTCTCCCAGCCCCACACCCAGCCCTACCACCAGATCCCAAGCTCCTGCGCTCCCACTTCCCCTTCAGATAGGAGCTGAAAACTCCGAAACAGCAGCACCTGCCACAGCATCTGCAAGTACAGCTGCAGCGCCTGCAGGAGACAACCTCAATACAGAACTGGTGGGGTCTCAGAACAGGGGCAAAGAGAGCAGTCAGAACAGTGTGCAGCCACTAGACCCACAGGGCGCTTGGGACACAGCTGCGCAAGGAAGCAAGTTTGTATCCATCACTGCTTTCCACCACGCTTATAAATCTAAATGCTGAGTCCTGCAAAGAAGCATCAGCAGGCAACGTGCAAAGCCAACAGGCATGAGCTCTTGCAGTGTTCAGATCAGACTAATTTTATTTGATTATTGCCTGCTTGTGTAATACTTGCTTTGAAAATCACATAATTAAAGTCTGGAGAATTGAGACCACAACATTAACTCTCTAATCATCTAGCTCAGCTGAAAGACTGTAAAATTTTAATTTCTTTCATGTTTGCATGAGAAGAACACTGAATAAATTACTTAAAGTGTGAAGAATTTCTCTAAGTGCACTCAGACGTATAAGAAAACACAGGTGACTCTCCAATAAAATTTTGACATTTCTCAGAAAAATGTAAGGAAAGATAATTTGGCTTTTGTTTCACTTGATTTTGTTGACCTTCAGTTACCTGATTAGAAGTAGAGGGACATTCTTTACCTAGAGGATAAAAAATAAAAGAAAGAACATGAGACTTTCACAGCACCACAGGTTGGAGAGAAAACGGAGACAGGAGGGGATAAGAGAACCACACAGGGATGGTGTCTGGACTCTGGGCGTCCATCCACCTCGCCGAGGCAGAGCGAGAGAGAGTGTGGCTCAGCCCTGGACTGCGGTAAGGGGCAGGCAGCACGGCGGGCTTCAGGGTCCAGAGAGACACTCTTTATCCACAGATGCTAGGAGCAGGAAGTAAGCCACGTCTAGAGTGATCAGAGCTGTGGGCACAAGCGAAGAATTCTATAAAACCATCACAGGAAAATTATATGCTTCTTAAAGGTGAACAATCATTATAGAATAAAAACAAAAATAACCAGATTATTTCCCTTTAAATAGAAACACAAAAAGTAAGATTCTAGGTGATTCAATCTGTGACTTATGAAGCAATTTGTGTGTGTAACAATCTGAAATCTACTACTAACATTTTTTTAAAAAGCTGGAATTAGGGAAGTCACAGAACACTAAATATTACCATCAACCCTACTTAGAAGCAAAATCTTGCCCCGATTGCCCCTGCGATCTGGTGCTTTTGATGGTCTCCTCAGCACTTCTTAGACTAGTCTTAGCATCTCAAATAATATAAACAGATTCTGTGAAACAAAGTAAGCTAAGAATTCCTAATAGCCTTTCCTCAAAAGTGGACTGATATCCTAGGAACAAGAAGTAAGCCACATCTACAGAGTGATCCAGTATTCGGTGGACTGGTCTCCAGCATGGACTGCTACACGCATCCACATCATTACACACACTTGTCAGTGTTGCCATAAGTAATGGTTTCTTGCATAAGTTGCTTCATTTCTGTACTTATATAAAATAATGAAGTTACATGACCTGGACACTGTAGAAATAACATTGGCCACAAGGACTTTGGAAGCCACGTGTCAGTATAAAGGGCAGGAAGAAGATGCAGGTGGGGTGCTTCCTGCTTTGGGCTGATGTGGTTAAAATACTTAGAAATAATCCTGTCACACTGCAGATTACAACTGAGAACATGTCACGATCATGTTCTCTGTAGACACCTAGACCACGGCTCCAAAGACCACCAGGGACAGAGGAAGGATATCAAGTCTGCTACAGCAGAGCACAGAGGAGAGAGCAGAAAGTGGGCACCACTAACGTGTGTGCCCAGGACCGAGCCAAGGGCCACAGAACTGCCCAGAACACGTGGGCGCTGGCCCCAGTCCACTGGCCAGCGTCAAGGAGCAGAAGTGCATCCCGTCTGCTGCGTCACAGGCTGAGCGGTCCACCTGTACCCGATGAGTCTGCAGGGCTGGAAGCGGGTGCCGCCGATGCACCGGCCCGCTGAGAGCCGCACCGGATGGGTCACGATGTAGGCAGCTGCAGGGCCCAAAGGCAATGCAAATGCACATCCAAAAGCAGCGCACGTCCTTACAGCAGTCAGGAATTGTCGCACTGACCCTCGGGTGGTGATTCTCGTTGCATCCCCAGCTCAGTTCCTACTTGGATGATGGGAAGGACAGCTGGTCTCAGATGCTCACTAAGCTCACAGGACATGGCCACGGGAGCTGCCGTGATCTCTGCACACGAGATCCCTCCATAGTGAGGCCTGATGGCAAACATGCTATGTGTGGCTCCTTTCCACACATGAGGTCACCAACGTAGGCCACTAGTGCCACTCAGGGCTCCATCGTCAAAATGACAAGTGACTACTAAAATAATAACTGGAAAACCACGTGTGTGTGCCCCAGGCACACAGAAACAGTGAAAAAAAAGATGCATCGAGATGGACCATGCAAAGGTTAACACAGAGCCGGTGCCGGGTGCGGAGGACACACCCATCACCCAATGAGTCCACCCCTACAGAAGAGTTTGCCTGTGTGCGTAAAGATGTTGTTCACGACAAATGCCGTCCTGAATGCAGACCAGCTCACCCAAACCTCTACTGAAGACAGAAGAGGAGTGATCGAAAGCAAGAGACAGGAAAAGGAATATTGTGGGACTGTCCTGCTTCAAGGTTGTATATGGTGAGATTTTTGGACTTATGTGCAAACATGAGA